GTTGAGAGCTGTTCTTCCTGTAACGCTTCCGAATAAAGAGGTCCTGGTCGAAAAGAGTTGAAAGATACGAAATTAGGTGGTCGTTGGAATCCTGATCGCAGTAAAGTGGTCCTTGGTAACATCAAGCATAGAGAATGTCTGGATCCATCAATAGTCTCCTAATAGGGAGGGCAGTGCGATTAATGGCTTCCATCGACTGGGTAGTGTTCGTCAAGTGGGTGGCGAAGAGCCAGTCGGGCATATATCATGACGGTATCTCCGGTCGCTTAATGCAGTTTGCTGCTTGGCTAGCCTAGGGAAATGTTAATAAAGGTAAAGTAAACTATATTTTTAATGACATATGGGGCACAAAATAATTGGTGTTATGTAAATGTAATTCTTTATACATAATAAAGACTCGTAATGTAAATGGAGAATGAAATAGTTCAAAAATATATGGGTAGTATTTCACACTCAGTCTAGTATATATACAAATGTACTTTTCTCTCTCTCTCTCTCTCTCTCTTTCTCTCTCTTTTTAATTTAATCTGTATAGTCTTTGTAGACTAATATTTTCCTTAATGTTAAGACAGTTTATTAGCATTTTGCTTAAAGCAATATGCTTTTTTCATTTATTTCGTGCCCTGATACAGATAATTCAATTTTGATAGAATACAAGTATGGCAATTGCCATGTTTGTAATTTATCTAACATCATCTCTTACAGTAGTCATAAGTTTCTTTTGTTTGTTTTTAACTATTTTTGTATAGACAAGTATTAATTTCACTTCTGTGCATAACATAACTGGTCTTGTGTTAGGATCTCAAAGACTTCATGAGACAAGCTGGGGAAGTAACCTTTGCAGATGCACACAGACCTAAGTTAAATGAAGGGTAAGCCTCTAAAATCATCTCTTGAAAACTGTAGAGTACTGTTTGTATGTATAGTATTTCGGGAGGGAGGCTGGCTACGTTCGGTGCTCAGCAGCTGTTTGTGGTTTAATTTAGCTACTCTCTGAAAATGCATTCTCTGGTATTTGGGGAGGGGAATTCTTCAATTCGTATTTGAGTTATGACAAGGGATGACTAAGCTTAGCAGCATGAAGTTTTTTGAGTTGTTTCCTGAACCCTTGCCCTAAGTATGTTTTGCTTTTCATCAAAACCACAACTTGTAATAGAGAGCTCTGTGTTTTGTTTTGTCATGTCTCTTTCTGTAGGGTGGTTGAATTCGCCTCTTACAGTGATTTAAAGAATGCTATTGAAAAGCTTTCTGGTAAAGAAATTAATGGAAGGAAAATCAAACTAATTGAAGGCAGCAAAAGGCACAGGTATCTATTTCTGTTCTCTTAAATAATGCTTACATGTTCTTTGAGAAAAGCTTTGAGGTCAGTGACCCGGCAGCCAAACTGGAGACCAGTGAATTGCCTGGTTATTGTCGTGGCCTGTGACATTTTGTTGCTAACACCGATGCTCTTTTGTTTCCTCAGTAGGTCCAGAAGCAGGTCACGGTCTCGTAGCCGAAGCTCATCCAGGTCTCATAGCCGTTCCCGTTCCCGCAGCC